TTAGTCTCACTGGACTAAAAATGCTGGTTCTGTGTGCAGGTTTCGGCCCGGTCCTGGGACCACAACGAGTTCTTTGCCCAGTTCTCGGGAGACCACACCCTGCTGACCAGGGGCTACTCGGTTCTCCTCAACAAACTGGCCGAGGGCCTGGAGATCCACAGGAACTGTCCGGTTCGTGCCCCCCTTCTGGACCCGGTGGTACAACAGATCAGTCTGCCTCTACTGAAATGGGTTTTTGGTTCCAGGTCCAGACGGTCGATTACTCGGGGGACCTCGTGAAAGTGACCTCATCAAACGGGTCGCAGTGGATGGCCCAGAAGGTAGAGGCTCTGAAACAAGCCCACTGGGTTACAGGACCAAAGGCTCTGGGTTCAGGTTCATCTCTAAAGCAGCAGATGACAAAAGATTTCACCTCTGATCCGGTTCAGTTAAGCCGTCAGGATCCAGGTATTCCAAATGGGTCCAGCTCGTTCATAACCAAGGACACCAGCAGAACCAGGAAGAGATCTCCATCAGGACCAGAACCAGGAACAAACCTCCATCAGAACCAGAAGAAACCTCCATCAGAACTAGGGAAAAAGTTAATCAGAACCAAAACCAGGACAGGATGATATGGGGGACAGAAATACGTTTGATTCAGAGGGCAGGTTCTGTTCAGGGATCCAGTCCTCATCGGGCTGCTTTCTCTTCCAGGTTCTGGTCACCGTCCCGCTGACCCTGCTCCAGAGGGGCCTCCTCCACTTCCACCCCCCCCTTCCTGAGAGGAAGCTGAAGGCCATCCACAGCTTGGGAGCCGGCATCATCGAAAAGGTACCTCCCATCCCCGCCGGCCCGCCTCCAGAGGCTGTCGGTGCCCAGCAGCTAAACCTCAGTCCGAACGTCCCGCAGATCGCTCTGCAGTTCCCGACCCGGTTCTGGGACTCCAAGATCCAGGGAGCCGACTACTTTGGTCACATCCCGCCGGCACCGGAAAAGCGAGGCCTGTTCAGCGTCTTCTACGACCTGGACCCTCAGGTGTGTTTTTAAAGCCATGACCAAGGAGGAGCCGACTGGTTCTGGATCAGAGGGTCGGCTCCTCCCCCTCAGGGTCACTGAGGCATCATGGGAGTCTGAGTATCTGCTCCAGATGTGTGTGTTTAGACTGGGAGGAGAATGAAGGACCCAGTCCTGTGAGGTTCTGGGTATCCGATCCCTGAAACCAAGCTCAGACCCTTTGAGGCCCTGGCTGATGTAACTGTGTCCAACAGGGGAAGCAGGCGGTGTTGATGTCGGTCATCTCTGGCGACGCCGTTCCTGCTGTCTGCGAGCTGGAGGACCAGGAGGTGGTGGGAGAGTGCCTGAAGGTCCTGAGGGAGCTTTTCCCCGAGCATGTGAGCACCGGTCAGGGGTCCGGTCGGCCACAGCATAGAGGGTCAAGGGTCAGCTGAGACTACCAGGGGAGCAACTAGCTACATGCTGAGGGGTATGCAGACTCATTATTATCCTTGTTGGAGATCTGATTGGACGCTGCATAAACTCAGTTAAGACATCTAAACTCAAGTGTATCATTCCCCAGTTGAACCATCTCCCTGCTTAAGATGCTGCCCCCCAACCCGACCACAGATAAGCGATGGATGATGGAAGGGTAGAAAACTAAAGGGTTATTAACCCTTTCCTGGCCCCACAGCCCCGACCTCTGCTTGTATCTCCATTCATCCCTGTGGAGGGATCACCCTCAGCCCTCCCTGTGATCATCGGCTCTTTGGGCCACTTCTCTCATATTTATCAGCATCAGAACCATTAACTATGCAGCTTAAAACACACCTGATTTCTTAGAGGTCAGAACCAAACCAGGAGAGGCTTCATTTCAGTTTGATGCTCCTCAAATCTGAATCGGTCTTCTTGAAGAGGTGAAACAGGGTTACTACAGCTGAATTTTTTTTAGCCTTTAATCTATTTATTTTATTTGGTTAAACTTATTTTTATTTGTTTTCTTTATCTTCATTGTCTGCTTTTAAAATGTAAGGTACATTGAGTTGTCGTGGACACAAAACTCAAACTGTAACATAAACCTGTCTCGCCTCATTTTGGATGGGATTTCCCCTCCGCTTGTGGATTAAAGGTCCTCTTCCTCCCACAGGATGTCCCAGACCCTGTGAACTACTTTGTGACCCACTGGAGCAAAGACAGGTGGTCTCAGATGTCCTACAGCTTTGTGAAGACGGGCGGCAGCGGGGAGGCCTACGACGTGCTGGCCGAGGACGTGCAGGGAAAGCTGTTCTTCGCCGGAGAGGTAACTCTCCTGCCTCCTCCTGAGCCGCCCAACGCCGCCATTTGGCAGCTCGTTTTCACGCTTTGCTTCACACACACCTGAACCAGCACAAACCCAGAGATTCAACCGGCAGCAGTAAGAATCCTAAAACCAGGCACCAATCGGGTGCTGAAATTAAAACCAGATCAAACGCAACATCTGGCAAAAGTTTGAATTACTCCAAAATGTCACAGCTCCTGTAATACACAGAGAAGGAAGATGATTACTAAATGGAGTAGATTTGGATTCAAGCTGAAGCCCAAAGGCAACAGAAACTAGGTGTTTTTGCTGTGTACAACAAGCTGGCCAGAGGGGCTGAATTCCTGTTTTCTGTTCCGGCCAATCAGGGAGTAGAGCTCTCTTCTTCTTTGGGCTTTTTTCCTCTGGTCAGGATTAACTGACTTTCAGACAATCGACGATCTCTGACCCCTCGACTGACCCCTCCCCTTAAGAAGTTTCAGGATGAGAACAGAGATTTCTTTAAGTTCCAAGAAGTCCAGCTGCCTGCCCAACCCAAACTACCTCAACCAGTTGGTGACAAAAGAAATGAGAAAATAAAATGAACTCTGCGGGCTGAATATTGTCACTTAAACTCAGTGAGGACAGGAAACGGATCACCAGCTCACCGAGTCCGCTGACTGTTTCAGGATTCAGGCTTCAAGAAGCATCAGGATGTGAGGAGAAAAGTCTCACAAGAAGAAGAAGTCCAGCTGGCTGTGTTTAGGCTCTGAGCATCAGTAACCCAGCTAATGCTCAATATGTGACTGTGTTTGATTCCACTGGTTTTAAACCAGGTTTAACCTTTCATTATTTGTCATTTCTTTTCCCACCAGGCCACCAACCGACACTTCCCTCAGACCGTGACGGGGGCCTACCTCAGCGGGGTCCGAGAGGCCAGCAAAATGGCTGCTGTGTAAGCCGGCGGCCTCGCAGCCCTTGGACGCCGGCACCGCCAGACGGATGGCCGACACGGCCGGCGTGGAGCTGAGCGCCTTGGAGCTGAGTGGCGGCATACCTCTGCATCAGGGTCCAGCAGGGCTCTCTGCACCTGCTTTCACACACTTAGCACAACAGCAGGGGAGCTGCTCTATATTTATATCAAATCCCATCAGGGAAAGTGCTTTTTTTAAAATCGAAAACCACCTCAAAGTGCAGCTCTGTCAGATTCTGGGAAGCAGGACGCTGTTTTTACTCCACTTCAGTTCACAGTCAGCACTTGCTTTGATTTGCTTAAAACTTTAGGAAAACTAGGTCTTTAATCAGGAATACCTAAATAACTTTAATATCCTGGGATTATGGTCGTGTGATCGGGTCTAAAATATCGTTAAACACGGTGTAGTGAGGTAGATTTATTCTTTCTGTGGTTTAGACGGTTAGACTTAGATATGGAGAACTTGTTTCATGTCGTTGGATTTTTCGAAACGTTTAAAGGAGGAATTCGATCAGGACACATCAGCCGTCCCATTTCTTTCTCAGGGATGTTATCATGAAATCAAATAAGCCCATACGGTGAGAAAAGAGTGGAAAAATAATGAGAATGGACAGTGTTGGATTTAAACAGCTGTTGATGCCGGCGTGTGACTCCTTTCTGTCTCTTCCTGTGTGTCTGAGGCCTGAATATTTATCCTGTATGTGTCTAATAAACTGAGCTCAAAACTGCCGAAAGAAGCGGTTTCACTTGCATTGAGTGTTTCTGCCCTCCTCCGTCAAAAAGTCAGATCAATTCTGATTATTTCTGTTCTACATTTGGTTCTTTCAGTGTGTCTGTGACTGACATGGATATACAGATGGTTTAGCATAAAATAGTCCTTAAATGATCCCTGGTGGTAATATCACAATTTTTTAGTTGGTTTCGTTACTTGTTCCCTATATCTTAACTAATTTCGTTGGAAAAATGTTTTACATCTACTATGAAAAAGATTGCCAGAACAGAACAACCTCAGTCATAATAAAAACACGCAATAAGGACCATCAAATCTGACATTTTGAACCTTGAAAAAAAAAATCTTTGTTTAGATGTTTCAAAGATGTATGTATGGATGCATGCATGTATGTATACATATATATATATAATAATTGTGAATTTAAAAACGATTAATCAAAATCAGTTAAATGTAAATGTTTGTGCTCTGTATCCAGAAAGCCACATCTACTTTTCAGGATCTGGTTATTATGGACACAGATTACATGTTAAATTTCAATATTTCAGTATTTATATCACAGAAACAGTTACAGGCTTTACTAGCTAAAAACACTCAGTATCAAAAGTACAG